AAATTTATTGTGGCCTTTCAGTAACTACTTGCATCGACTATTTTAGAGCGCTGTGGAATTGATTGCGTTCAACTTCGGCAAAATTACAGAACTCCACGTAAGTGAATGCATACTGTGTAATTACACTGTCAACAAATCACAATGTCATTGAAATGAAATGTTTGCCTATTCTGATGACTATTTCAAAGTAATCGAGCTATTTATATACTCCGTCAATAAAAACGGAGTACTGGATCGACTGTAATAAGCTAGAAGTGTTTCCCATCTGCCCCGTGAAGTTTTGCAAAAAGCTGTTGAAAGGCAACTATTGAAAGGGAACTAAAATGTCGCAGAAATCCAGCAAAAAGTCGACAACTAGAATGTTGTTGTCCAGCACATATGATCGTCAACGAAATTTTAAATACAAAAATTATAAGCTGCTTCATTTGAATTTTCAGCTACACGTTGTGAATCGCCATCCATTACTTTTGTTCTTGATGAATAATAAAAATTTCAGAGACCGGAAGATTTTCTCAGCGCTACCATAATCGGCGATACAGCAAAAATAAGCTACACAGTGATTCCAGGAAGCTTTTACAAAAGTACACTGGGCCGTAGTATGTTGCAAGACATACTTCGTTCTGGAAGACCTACGAGCGACCAAACCAGCACCGTTGAAACACCGGAAAAACATGAATGATCAGTGGTTGTGCAACGCGAACCCTATTCGTTCCTCGTCACCTTCAAAATCCTAGTAGTTTGTGTAGAAGTGTTGGCGACAGAACTATAGGATTTTAATAAAACTGTTTTTACTTGGAATTATGCAAATAAACATAATTGCCATGGGACAATCGCGAAGTTCCACAACGGATCAGTGAACCTCTACATTTCCATGGCTAGTATTTTTTCCGTTACACAACTTTTCTTCGTACAGCCCGGATTTACATTATGCAGAATTTTCGCGAACTATCTGGGACATCCAAATGCGACTTCGCCTTGCTGAAGCAGAATTTTTCGTCGTGTGGAAGCACAAAGCTGAATTTTCGAAGCGTCAAATTTATTTAGCTGTAGAGAATACAACATGAGGTCATCAGTGTGGAACATGAATGACTTAAAAAAAGCAAGAATGTGAAGTGACGCAAGAAGCTGAGATCCTAAAATACAAAAGAATGCTGAAGTGTTGCAGTGTGCAAAAAAAGACAAGAAATGAGGTGATGAAACTACAACTGTTTGAGGCAACAAAGTAAGTGAATGCAAAAGGTTAAGACCGAAATATTCCAGCGACTTAATGGACCAAAACATTCCTGTTCATTTGATACTTTTTCCAAATATTTTTTACGTTTTACATATAATAAAGTCTTTATTAGGCGGGTTATTTACAAACGTGGTATTGACCATTCTTTTTTTGTTCAGTAGAAAAAAATTAATACAAAAAATGAAAATAATACTGGCCATTTATGCATTCGAGATTCAAAAACAAAGAAGATTGTACCCAATTACCAAATTCCTTCTTGCTCATACTGCATTCAATTAACAAAAAACAACACTTTTTTCTTTCAAATGTTTCTGGATGCATTTACTTTTTAACGCAAATTAGCAATTTCTAACTGCTTTTTAAGACCCTATTTTAGATGAAAATTTTTCCTTCTCACAAATTCATATGCAAAAAATTGATGCCTCTTCCACCAGCCGAGCACAGATCGGTCATTCTGCCCTCCAAAAATACAGTTTCTATAATTTAATTTAAAATTGCTTAATATAAGTAACATGATTCGGAATTTCCTTTTGTTAATAAAGAAGAGATGTGTATTTTAGCAAGAGCACGTCGATATGCTTCTTCTTCCGGCGTCACCC